TCCGACCTTCCACTATGACCACCACCTCGCTCTCAGATCTGACAGAGACAATGATGCCCCCATCCCAGCATCAGGGCACAGATTCCCGGGCTGAGGCAGTAAATTGACTCCGCAGTCAATTTTTAGTCTTCCCAAAGGGCACAGTGTGTTAACTGGGGATCTGCAGCAAATTTGTAATCACAGATCAGGCACTCCCCACTCCTGCAACCCTGACAGGTCTCAGTGCTGCTGTGTACTGAGTGAGGGACCAGAATTCTGTTTGACTAAATCCTGCGGAGAAACTAGTCAGAAAGGGGATTGATGCTTAAGCCTCAACGCTGGCTGCTGAAGCCTTGTGCAAACATTTCTTCAAGATAACTGCTCTCTCAGCCCTGAGACAATGCAATGTGGAGAGTGTAGGGACTCTGAACTACAATGGAAGGTGGCCATTAACACCACAGGGCCATAGAACTAGATGGCATTATGATAGGGGTCAATCTGGATCTAGGGCTTCCTGGATTTTAAAGTCTTTTGTGTCTGTGACCTCAGTGAATCCTAATAACATCTTGAGGGATGATGTCACAAAAGTTACTGCCCCTCTGGATATTTAAGAAATGCCAGGTGGGACAACAAAATGGCTCAGTGGGTAAGGGCACTTGCTGCCTAGCCTGGAAACCTCAGTTCAACCCTCAAGATCCTCACGGTGGCAGAAGAAACTAAATCCTGTAAGTTTTCCTCTTCTCTACACACACACACACACACACACACACACACACACACACAAACATCCACCAGGCACTGCATACACTGCCTTTAGAATATTGTCTCTTTTAGGAACAAGGCATTTTGGAGGCAGGTGTATTTATATTTATTTGTATTTATAGTGGGTACTTTGAAGATGCTAAGTTCTTTGTCTGACACTGCACAGCCAGAAGAGAAGTCTAAAGCTTCAAGTCTGGTCTGTCTGAAAACAAGGGCCCTGTGCATGACCTCTTTGACAAGCTCCAAATTTCACTGATGAAAAGTTAGCGCCTGGCAGTCAGTATGGGATTCAAGCAAATATGCAGAGAAATGAGCTTGGAGGCTGGGCACATATGATATGGAATTTAAATCTATGTTCAGCCACTGACAAGGACTTGGGCAAGTTGTTATGCCTGCATAAGACTGGGACAATAGTTCGTGTAAGATAATTCACTGCAAACCCTTCGAAGATAGCTGTTCTGAGAAATTCCAGACTCCCGTTCTGACGGGCTTCTAGGTTTCCGGAAGTCCCTTTGAGCCAATCAGGCCCTGTCAGCTCACGTTCTTTCAATGAACTCACTCATCCAATGGTTACAAAACAAATATGGAGAGCTGCTGAGGCTGGACCGTGCTTCAGTCATGGTGCTGGGCGTTTCCATGTGGTTGAAAGCAGCATGCAAGGTGGGGATATTTATGCACAGATGAGGAAAGTGAGGCAGAGAGAAGTGAGGTGCTAGCCTTAAGTCTTATCAAGGGCAGTGCCCACCCCCTTGGTTAACCACTTTGCCTGCAATTTGTCACATCAAATGTCAGTCATTCCCCCCACCCCAAACTTTCCCTAGCCTTGTTCAGTGTGCTTGCTCTCTCACTAACAGAGAATCTTCCCCTGGCCAAGGTTTGCTAAGTTCTAAACAGCATGACTCCAGTATGTTAAGAACATAAATACTCACCTTTTTCTTTTCATAGTTCAAGATAAATGCATTCCGTGTGGGAGGGGGGAGAATGGGGAGAAGGGTTCTTCTGTTTGCAAATAGTATTACTCAGGCTTCTTGTACCAAAGGGAATTTACTAGAGAGTAGAAAGGAAAGAAAGAGGGAAAAGAGAAAAAGAGGAAGAAATCACAGTGAACAAAAGACCTGGGGGACGTAATTATAGAAACCCTGCAGGTTCCGCACTAGCTGGAAAATTGCAGCCATTCCATGGTGGGAGCAAAGCTATTTTCTTTTATTTTAAAGTGGATTCTTCACCTTCCAAAGGGCTAATTATGGTACTGCCTACATGTTGTGTTCATAGGCTCCAATTTCATCTTTTCATTAACCACGCCAGCAAATAACAAAATTGTACCTGCTCTCTGGAAGCATCTTCACGCGAGTTCCGAAACAGGAGAGAACATGGAAATCACTCACTTGTGACTCGGTCCATGTTTTCCATAATTGGCCTCCCCAAAGACCTTATCAATGGCTCCTCTGCCAACTCAGCCAAGAGAAAATCATAAAACAAAGCAGGTGGGTGGCAAGAGCCAAAGGAGGTATAGGGAGGGCGAGGTGATCTTTCCTAAACACTAAATGATAACGCAATGTCGTGGAGAGCTTTTGATGATGTAGGAGATCCTCAATGTAACACATTTGGAGAAGAAGCAGACTACACAGAATGTAGACAGAACGGTTTCAGCTGTGTTGATCACACTTACACACATGTCATTGCAGATCATTACAATGCTTTGTGCTTACTACATGTCAATGAACAGAATTCTTCGTTTTTTTATACACACTCAAGTGCCAGCCACATAGGAAAGATGGCATCCAAAGCCTCTTCCTTGAGCTTTCAAGGACTGGGCTCCTCACCCCCAGTGAGAAACCTCAGCATCCATCAAGTGTGTGTCTTGTCCCACTTCCCAAACACTTCAACCTTTTTAGGATCAGCATCCCTCTCCTGCATTCCCCCCAGGGCACCCTCCACATCAGGTTGCTGGGTGGAAGAGGCTTTACAAGAAGTCTTTAAACTAGCAATGACTAGGGCTGTGACCTGGGCAGAGGAGGAAAGCTTTTTCCTGCCACCGTCTTAGGATTTCTATGTTGTGATAAAAAAACACTATGACCAAAAGCAGCTTGTAGAGAAAACGGTTTATTTCACTTTAGAGCTTGCAGTCTGTCATCCCGGGAAATTAGAGCAGGAACTCAAGGCAGGAACTTATGCGGAGACCATGGGAAAGCGCTGTTTACTGGTTTGCTCCTCATAGCTTGCGCAGCCTGCTTTTTCAAGTTCACAGATGGCCCCACCCACAGTCATCAATCAAGAAGATGTACTGCAAGATCACACAAACCAGTCTGGTGTGGAACGGGGGAGCATTTTCTCAATTGAGGTCCCTTCTCTAAAGTGACTGTAGCTTGGGCCTAGTTGATGTAAAACTAGCAGCACAGTCCCCTGCCCATTCCCAGTCTATCTTGACCTCTGCCAGGCTCACCCTCTCTCTGCATCCCTCACCTGCTCCCAGCACACCTCTGTCTCGGGTATCTTTTAGGCATCCCGGCATGCTCCAACCTGTCTTTTCCAGTTTCCAGAGCCCCAGCTATGGACTATCTCTGCTTTTAACAGAGGACTGAAAAACTTGTTTGATTAATATTCGGAGCACTCAGAAAGCACTTTTATCCAATGCTTCCCATGCAGACTAGCCAAGCAGAACAAGAGAGGCGAGCTAATGAGCCCGTTAAGGTGTCTTCCCAAACAAATGCTTTCCTTGTCCTTCCACCCCAAAACAGAAACAGCTGCAGTTTTAAAAATAGCATGCTTCCATCCTTTAACGGAAATATGCCAAGTTTTTAACACCCGCTATCTTTAGGTGACGAGGAACAGTTTAACATCATTTATTCCTTCCTATTTTTCTGAATTTTCCAGAGTGTCCCTGGCTAGCATGAACTGCTTTATCATAATAAAGTCCCCAATGGTCAATGCATCTGTCTAATACCTGACTGAATTTTCACAGAAGCCCTCATCAGGAGGCACGTCTGCTCTCGTTTAGAAGTCCAGAAAGGTGAGGCAACTGTTCAAGGTCACACAAGCAGAAGTAGGAGTCAGACTCGACCTTTGGCCTCTCAGCCACTAAAGGACAGAGGTGTTGTATAGAGCCCCCTGTCTCCTTCACCTGCAGGTGGCATCCTCAGGCAGGCCTCAACAGATCGCCTGGGGCTAGTGGCAAGTGTGAGCAAGTCTATGCAGTGGGACTCACAAGATGGTTCCCTCTAGGGACAATTCTGTGTTCCTATCTCATCCAAATCAGACTCAGAATTGGGTGGGTGGGTGGGTGGCGGGTGACTGGGTACCTTGATGTGGGATCTATCAATGGCACCGGACTTGATTAACAAAAATGTAGAGGAAAATGACATGTCACTTCTGCGCCAAGTGTTGGGGGGCGGGGGGTCAGTTTATGCTTCTCCACGCTCCTCTCCTGCTTTCACAAAGCAATGTCCCCAAGAAAGGCAGTGTATAGACAAGGGACAGGTGACTTGTGTTACTTCTGTGTCCTCAATTAGAAGGAAAAAGCAGGGACGTCCTCATCAGATCATTAAAGTGAAATTCTACTTGTGCCTTTTGAAAATGATCTCAGGACAACTAACTTATCACAGCTATCCTGGCCCAGCCGGTTTCCTGCCTGCCAGCGCCCGTCCTATCACAGGCTCTGGAAATGCCCAAGGAAGAGCATGACAACTAGCAAATGGCTCTAAGTCATCCCCAGACTGTGAGGAAGGAGTGCTTGGGCCTCTCTCCTCCCTTCCAGGGGCATGAACTCCCACCAGCTGCAGCCACAACTGGAAACCGCGGCCTCAGGTGCCATCTGGACACAGTGTGAAGCAATGAAGACCAACAGAAGGAAGTGCTAGATAGCAGCCAATTACCACCTTCTGCCTGCAACCAGGGGAGCCGCATGCCCTCCCTAGCAATCTGTGCTCTCTGTGCCATTAGCCACCACTGTCTTCTTGGTAAGGGTGGCTAAGTCAGGAGCCCCATGTTTCAGTCTGAAAACAATAGCCCTCCGCACTGAGAAATAGGCAGGAGAGAAAGCCGGCTCTGCCCTGCCATCAAAGGAGCCAGTCCACTGATCCTGCTAGGCATCCCCAGCAGGGGGATGCAATGGCCTCATCTACAGGAACTGGCTGGTGGTCGGGTTGCTGAAGCGGCTTCATTAGATTTGCTCTTGTCTCATCCTTCTTCCAGTCTTTCGTCTGGACCATCACTCCTTGCCTCATTTATTTTGCGATACATTCATTCCCGGGTTTACTTACCCAGCAGGTGGTCTGAGCACTCCATCCATCCGGAGCACTGAGCACCACGGGATGATGGAGGGAAGAGGTCTGGAAGAGGATGGAGCCTCCTGCTAGGTGGCAAAATCTTCTGTTCTAGAATTTGGAAGGGAGAAACAAAACATGTTTTCACTGCAGATATAACCCCAACTACCCCATTTGTCAGGAAACCCCTTGGCCAAGAGCCATGTGCAGGTAGTGACCAAGACCCCTCTGTAAGTGCCTGTGAATATTCCCTTTTTGGTAGGTGTGGCCCTCAGAGACACTCCTTATAACTGCCTAAAAGGTTTGACCTGAGCACTGAGTGGTCTCCTGCTATGAGCGGCTTCTTATCTCCCTTGCTTTCAAATCAAGGCCATTAGGCTACTGGGCAGCTAGTGACCAAGCATGGGTGAGGTCATGGCCAGGCCACTGCTGCTCAACACAGGTCTTCTCTTTGGGGGTCTGCATCCAAATCCCCTTCCCAGTCCTGATTTCTTCTTTTGCCTTCTGAATGAGTCATCCCTTGTAGACCTTTTGGGCGTCTTTGTCCACCTCAGCACCTGTCTCCTGGAGAACCAAGCTAGCCCAGGGGGGTGATAAAAGGAAGAGAAACACGAGTTGTTCCTTTTTTTCTTTCCCAAGAGCTCTATAGTTTGAGAGTGGGTGCTGTTGCTAGTCATAAAGTATTTTTGTTGGTCAAGGATATGACTTCGCCGAAGCAAGAGTCTTGCCATCGTTTTAGACCTCTTGCCTGAAGCAGGACAAGGCCAAGTGCTCTGAGCTGGTAGGAAAGATCAGCGCAGGTCTTGTGGCCCTTCCAGGTCTGGACCGACTGGACAGGGTCACAGTGCTGGGTGAGAATGAGTGTCAATAGGAAAATGGTTCCCGGGTGTTCCAGGTCCTAAAGGATCATTGGTTACTAGGGCCTTGTCAAGGCAGTAGAAAGCAATACGGCCTGTCCACAAGCATGCGGCTCTTAGATGGCTGCATGGAGGAATGGGGGGGGGGTGGAACAAGGGGAGGTATATTGGAACACAGTCCAAGAATGGAATCCTGCCAAGAGAAGTCTGAGTGCTTGTGAGAAAACTCCAAGAAAACAAGACATGAGTCTTGTGACCTCCATTTCTCCAAAAACCAGGTAATTGTTCCTAGATGATGCTTTCATGCACTTCCCAGGAGTAGCGGACAGGAGGGAGTTTACTTTAGACTGTTCATTGCAACTGGCTATTGGGATTTGTTTATATGCCTCTATGGAAGAACATGTTTTTGCCACATGCAGCTTGTCCTTGGGGTTGTACACTTTACTCAGGGGACTTCTTAACCCTCAGAGTAAACTGTCTGATGCTCTGAATAAAGTTAACTACTGCGTGAGACTTTAGTCGGCCTCGTTTTTAGGCTCCATCCTCCCAGATTCCTCCACCTCTAGAGCAGTAACCGGACCTGTGCTTTGATAAGGAGTTTCTTCAGGACCTAATACAAACCAGGGCCTGTGGTGTGCTTTGTATCCGCATGTTTAGATAAAGACCAAACGATCACCAGGGCTTCTCTAGACACCAGCAAAAGAAGCAGCTTCTGGCCAAAGAAATAGAAAAGAAAGTTTCTAGGAGGCTATTGAGAAGCTGAGGCAGAAGCAGGCAGAAGAAACCCAGCAGCTGTGGGCTCCCATGTGGCGAGAGCCCTTCCACAATCCCACCAGAGCATAGTGTGGAAAAGAGTGAATGTCAACATTTTTAGTGTCTTTGTTTCTGTGTTCCTTGTTCGATTTCTAAAGAGGGGTACAGAATCTTGCTAGATAGGGTAGGTGTGGGATTTTGATGGACAGTCTTGATGCTCTGTAGGGTCCAGAGAGTAATCTACAATTGCCAGACTTCCCATTTTGAATGAGTGAGTTTATTAACTACATAAAGAGCAGAAGATAAATAAATAAATAGCAATAAATAGATAAAAAAATCATCAAATCAGGGGCTTGCAAGCATCCATCAGAAACCAACTAGGAAAGCCCTATTAAGGCAACCAACTAGAGGGTTGGATCAAGGGAGAAGAGTAGAATGTCCCCTCTGGTAAGGTTTCCATGTAAAGTGACAAATAGTACCACAGAAAGACAATGTTATCAAATTGGGTGCTCACAACACCCAACAGAAACTTGAGGCAGTCCACTGGAGTCCTCAACTGAGCTTTCTCTCCACAGATGAGCTCTATGGCTGGACACCCAGCTTCTATTTCCTGCTGGAGGCTCATTTTTATCATGGGATAAATAATCATAACCTTTGTAGCTTGCCTTGTAGCTGCGTTTCAAGGCTGTGATGTTTTCACTCTTGGACAGTTCTACTGTTTTGTTCCTTCCCAGCCCACACTCAGACAAGGAGGATACTTTGAGATGAACATACCTGGCTCTAAAACGGGGGTGAAGTAACCTTGTTTCCAGAGCCAACCTCTCAGGGAACTCAAACAACACATGACAATTTACCAAGATCATGTATCATTTGATAAGACAAAGGGCATCTCAAGACACACACACACAAAAAAAGAGAGAGAGAGAGAGAGAGAGAGAGAGAGAGAGAGAGAGAGAGAGAGAGAGAAAGAGAATGCAAGGCCACAGCTAAAGGAGGACTTGTCACCTACGAAGCCAGGGACCACCGGGTATACAGGCTCAGGGAAGGGAGGACAAGGACGTACTGGGAGGAACTGACAGACACCAAGCAGGGCTGGGTGCAGGCAAGGACAGTGGATAGATGCTGGGAACCAAAGGATTAAGTGGAGGAGAGAAGATGTGGGCAGAGCCCTCCTCTGCAAAGCAAAGATTAGAAGAGGAGGTGAGGATGGAAAGAGGTCTCTTGTAAAGGGAGGGTTTTTTCTTCATGAGGTAGGAGAGACTTAATCCTCTTTATGAGCAAGAGGAGAGAACAGGAAAGATGAAGATACATCAGAGAGTGATCACAGCAGAAAGAGGACAGGACCCAGAGGAAGGGCAAGAATGTCCGGGTCAGTGCCGTCTTTGCCATTCTAGTGTATCCTAGCTGCTAAGGAATGATTGTAGGGGCAAGGGGAGTGACTCAGCAGATTAGCACACCTGCTGTCCTTCTGGTGTGATTCCTGGCATCCATGTTAGGTGATTCACAACCACCTATAACACCAGCTTAAGATGACCCAACACTTCCATCTGAGCTACAAGGGCACCTGCATCGTGAGTTTGTATGCACACATTTTCAGAAAATAGATTGTGAATTAATTTCTTGCTTTCTAGTTTCTTTTACTTTAACCTCTGTGATGGACAATTTTGCCTGTCAATTTTACTTGAATACATGATAACCAGGGAGTAGGTAAAACATTATTTCTGGGTGAAATGAGGATGAGGGTACTTACAGAGGAGACTGCATTTGAATCAGGGACCTTCTTCCCTTCCTCCCTGTTCCCTCCCTCACTGCCTCTGTCCTTCCTTCCTCAAGCAGACTCAGAAGCTTATCCTAGTATTCTTGTTGCCCAACCCCCACCTGCTCCCCACCCCCATCTGTTCCCCACCCCCAGGTGTTCCCCGCATCCTCTCTGGCTCTCAAACCTTCAAACTCAGACTAAATTCCACCAGTTTTTCTGTCTCCCCCAACTAGCAAAAGATCGACAGATTGAAAGACTTCACAGCTTCCATAGTCACGGGAGCCAATTCCCACAATAGATCCCTTCTTCTGTAACTCCAGAAATCATTCTGGATCTGATCTGATAGAGAACTTTGTATAATGCAACCTCAACTTGACCTTAAAGTCAAGAACTGTGTCTTTGTAAGTAGAAAGAACGATACTCCCGTCTTAGGGTTTCTATGGCTGTGAAGGGACACCATGACCACAGCAACTCCCTTATGAGGGAGGGGACAGACATTCAACTGGGGTGGCTTACAGTTCAGTGCCTTAGTCCTTTATCGTCATGGCAGGGCATGGTGGCACGCAGGCAGACATGGTGCTGGAGAAGGAGCTGAGAGTTAATACGCCCTGATCCAAAGGCAACAGGAAATGAACTGAGACACTGGGCAGTATCTTGAGTATGAGACCTCAAAGCCCACCTCCATAGTGACACACTTCCTCCAACAAGGCCACACCTACTTCAACAAGGCCACAACTTCTAATAGTGCCTCTCCCTATGGGTTTATGGGGGCCAATTACATTCAAACTACCACAACTGCACAGAGAGTCAAAAGACCAGAATTCTAGGACCCATTTGTATTATGGGATCCTTCTCGACTGTGGGTTACTAAGTTCAGTGACTTGGTCAAGGACACGTTCAGTTTTCTTGTAAGAAATCACAAGGCAGGACGTTCGAGTTGGTGCGGCTGCGTATGCTATGTTTCACCCACGTGACTTCAGTCACCCACTCCTCCATTCTCGGCAAAGAGCTGTAGATGTTCTGTTTGCCATCACATTGACTTAAGATGGATGTCTGACCAGGATCATATCCACAGTCCATGGCCAAACAAGGAAGAAACAGAGCTAGGCACCCTGCCTTTGGAAAGCAAAGCCTTCCTGATTGACCTAACAAGTCCAGTTTGCATCTAGTGGCCCCTTTCAGCTGCACGAGGGCTGTTACTCTACACTAAATAAGGTTGTCATTGCACCTGGCTTCTCTAGTCCTTGTCTTCCTCTAACGGCTTCCTGGGCTTCTGCTGGGGATATCCCCCCAACTACGCCCCCACCCCCCGCTCTCAGCATTCTCCACCCACAAAGAGTCTCGGAAGGAGAGTAAACATATCCCACTCAGCATCCAAAGCCAAACACCTTTCCCAGGCGGTGGAGTGGATCCTAGTATCCGTCAATTGACCAGAGGGCCTCTCTCAGGATTTGTCCCCATGTGTGAGTGTGACAAGACCAGAAGAAGCACCTGGAGATTAACTCTCTCTCCTTGTGCATATCCCAATTAGGGCATCTCCACTTAGGGCTCCTTTTCTAACGGTGCACATTCCAGCCTTCCAGAACTGCTTCCTCCCACTTCTTTCTCAGTCCAGATTGCCAGTCTGCCTGTAAGTTCTGAGGGGACATTCAAACCAATATGGTCCCTTCTACTCTGCTGCTTGGAATACACAAGCAAAACTCCGACTGGCACACGGACGCCATCCCTGACCACTTGTGCGT